TAAGCACATCATGGTATGTTAAGCACACCTTATGTGCCTATAGTTTGTGTTTAAATGTATGCGGTGTGACAGGGCTGACTCACCAGGGGATTGTGGCTTGGGAGAAACCACTGCAAGTCTTTTAGGGGAGGACTTTGGTGACAGCTCAGCCTCTGCATCCTTCTGTAAATCTCTCCTAGTCGCTGTGTAACAAAAAAGGTGTTATTTTCTTTGTAATACACAGAATTAAAACATAAGACAGACATTTATTTTGGTTTTATCTCATAGGAAGTATTTGCCTAAATATTGGTTAACCTGTACTTCTGCTACACTACTTCTGTTTTTTTAATACAGACAAAACTTTGACACAAAACATGAATAACATTATAAAATAACACCACTTTTTTATATTGAATAAAATATGATACACATGTGACTGATTAAATGAAATCCTCGATATAAAGGGATTTTTTTTGTAGAATATTTTTTGTAGAATATTGTTCATCCCTCCAACAGAGTTCCTGGGAAAAGCAGATTTAATGCCTAGGCATGGAAACTGGTAGTAAAAACAAACAACAACTTTGTTTTGCTTTTTCCTTAAAATTAATCAAATCAGTGAATAACTGAAAGCATAAAAAATGGCTGAAATAAAGACTCAGCGATCACTGTAGGACAGTGACCACTAGCTGGAGTTACTGCTTCACTTGTTGACACGGTTTCTGTTGTGGAAAGATGGGGCGACTGGTGGTTCACCCAGAAATGCAAACTGTCGCCACAGGATGGCGCTGATGCTCCACATTCACTGCAAAGACGCCAACATGAGCACCACTGTGCATTAGCTAACAATCAAGACGCCCACAAGACCAGAGGGGGAGTATAGGCTACTGTATGATACTGTATCCCTGCTGTGATGCAATGCTAGGCAACAGTTTGGAAACACAGCACATGAATAAGTAGTCCTAAATACTATTTATTATTTTCTACTCATTTTAGTCCTAAATCAGAAGCTTGATAAGCAAACTGAGCTGAACAATGGACAATAAAAGCAAATAAATGAGTAAACACTCAATCATAGTCATTATGCTCTCAACTACAATCATAATTAGCAACATTGCAAAAAAAAAAAAAATCATTGCTTGAGTACAAAAAGCACAGCTGTGTTTATTGTTTCTAGCTCAACTTCTTGCCCATGTACAGGACTGTAGCTCAAATCAGCACAGACAAACTGTCCTGTCTTCCTGGTTTTACTTAAAACTCCACAATAACCTTTAAAACTCAGACATTTCTCTAAGCAGCTGTGTGGGAATAGGTGGGGCTTATACTGAGGAATGAAATCAAACGTGAATTTCTATCACACATACACAAATTGAGCCCAATCGTTTGGTTCCTCTGGCTTTGTGCAAGAGTGCTGTACCTAGTGGGGAGCAGTGCCGTGGTGGCAGATTGCGCCGCTGGAGGCTGGGGGCATTAGGAGGGTGAGGGCAGCTCTGAGCAGGGGAGGCTTCTCTGGTTGGTGCTGTGGCTTTATGTTGAGTTGTGTCATCGCTGCCACTGCTGGGATCTACATCAGAAAAGAAAAACATGCTCAGGGACTGTGGCAAAAATCACACAATGTTGCTATTTATATATGTACGAAATATGTTTTTATTTAAAAGCTGCAATTTTCTCACCTCCCGAATGTGATTAAGCCTATGTAAGGCAGTCAGTGTGCTCGCTCTAGCGCTGACTCTTAATATATGGGTCATTTCCTAAAAATATCAGTGAGTGAGTCTCACCTGACCGCCACAGGATTAGTGAATTTTATTTTGTAGACAATTTCCTCATATTTAAGTAATGCATGCAAAAATTTCCCTTCATTCTATGAAAATTTCAAGCTGTTTGAAATTTGGTGCTCTTCAGGTCGCCATATTTTTCCAGCATTTTCTGAACTCTTACTTAAATAAAATTTAAACGCTGCCACCACACAATTTCTTTTCTACTTTTTTACCTATTTTTCTCCCTATAACTTTGAGCATTACTCAGTGGGTTATATCACAGTTTTAAAAAGAAAACTCAACCCAATATAATGTCTACTAAATTGTAATAAAAGCAAGCAAGTCACCATGGACAAAACAAGTTATAGCATTTAAAAGGTTGTCTTTACCTGTATTTTAATAACTTCTAGTTGTGCTAAGAATTATGTTGCATATCTAATGACGAAAAAGAAAGAAAAAACATTAGATTCTGAGGAAATGGCTAAGATAGCTATCAAATATTTCACCTTGGCCAACGTAGATATTTTGACGTTGACTACAAAAACTGAATTATTCATGTTTTGCAGGTATGACATATCTTTGTGGCTAATTTATGACTGCGAGCTTTTTGTTTCTTCCTATTAAAAGGGAGTTTTTCCTTCCCACAGTTTGACTTGAATGTTTTGGCCCCTGTGACCCTCTGTAAAGGTGTGAGTTGTTAAATGCTGGATCGCTTTCAATCACTTCATGTCTCAGTGGATTACGGTACAGTCACATGTACAATTTTGGGAAATACCTGACTATGCAAACTAATAGGTATAGAGCCAGCCATGGCCTATAGTAAATGATGTTCTTGTGTCTTAACACAAAAGATTTGATTTGGTTTAGCAATACTGAGGGAATTCTCAGCGCCATTTGAAAATGAAAAACTGTGGAATGATGGCATTAAAGCTTTTAACTGTCAATTCCATGCACGTTTCAGATCATTACACTCTTTCCTAATGGAGTTTTGGTTCTTTTTTGCTTTGTTTTGTTTTTTCTGGTAAATTGCACACTCTCATCAAGATTCGCAAAAAACAGGGTGCTGTAAACATAGTAATTATTCATAAGAGCTGCTGTTATGCCTCTAGCTTTTATGGAAATGAAAGGCTGAGGAACAGTGCAGCTGAAACATCCTCTAAATAATCACAATGAAATTATGACAGTTTTTACATATTTTTGCATGCTGTATACTGTATGCATTTCTCAGATATAAACCTTTAACTTTATACTAGTCAAAAAAATTCCATCAGTGCATAAATGATGGAATTTACTTTGTCGTTATAAGTGAAGAGTCAAACCAAAGAGCTCTAATTACTAATCATAAAATATTCAGCAGCTCAGTCAATGGTAGTGCTGACACAAACTCTATTGGTAATATAACACTTTTGAAGAGGAAAGGATAGCTTTGTGCCCTTGAATTAAAATACCATCACTCTGATCTAATAATGTCAAATTGTGACCCAAGGAGGCTGCAGACATTCAAAAAACATTAAGCTGTTGTGATACATACATGTGTGTATATATATATATATATATATTAGCACATTTTATTGATACAAAGGACAGTATAGCATAAACACAGATTAGAGGAGGACATTAAATCACTTTTGATGTAAAAATGCCAAGGCTCTGTGCAACACGTCTAGTGATGCTTTCCAATGCAGCAGCATGCAGCAGCATGAATACACCAGGGAGAGTCAGCAGATTTTTTTCCTTTCTTTTTTTTTCCTTTTCCCAAAGGTGACCTACTGAAATGGAGACGAAGCCAAGAAAAAGATTGGCTAAAGGAGACGGCCGAAGGCTGACTCACACTGCTAAATGCTTCTTTCTAGCGTGCATGTACAATACAAATCCACCCCCTGTAGTAAGAATCCTCTGATCAGCACCAATGAGGACTCTGCTTGTGACTAATTTGCAAGCAGCAAGAATAGACAAGCTAATAACATTCAGAACAAATGTGCCTCTGGGCCGTGTGGCAGTGATAAAGAACTGGTGACAGAAAAATAGAAAGAAAGGTCTGTGTTACTTTACAGTCAGCATACTGTGTAATACGTTCCTCCTGATTGAACTACACCAGCGAATTAATTATTTCACCAGACCTGAGCATCATGATGACAAGGAGCTGCTTGTTCCTGCTTGTAGCTGCATTTGGGGCTTATGGTTATAGCGTGGTGCAGTCTGAGCCAACAGCCTAAAGGGAAACACTGTGGTGCAAGCAGACAGTTGTGTATGCCATCTGAGCTGCTGCTTCCAAGTATTTTACAATCTGGCAGATACTGAATTTGTTCAAATGTACACAAATCTGCTTCAGTTTACATATCTAAAAAGATTACAGAGCCACTGGCAGTCAAGTTGGGCATCCTCATATTAATGTTGAGTTGAACTGTAGTTGTTTTCTTGAGAATCAGTGGTACTGTATACACCAACTAATTAAGAGTACTATTGCTACAATTTCTAAGGATAGGCAGGATTCAGCTGTCAAAGACTGGAATAAATGTAGTGATGTTTAAGCAAAGGACAACATTAACCTGTAATTATATATGACAATGAGCAAAGACAGCATTCATGATTAAACTCATACAATAGATAAAAATTAATAAAAATTAATGACCTTACCAGAATCTTATTTTCATCTGATGTCTATCAGTTTAAATTAAATTTACCAGAGAAGTTTGCAAGCTTGTCTTAAAGAGCCGCTTTCTCTGATATTCTTTATATTTTCTTTTACTGTTACTATTATTTTTACCATGACTGGTCTGTATTAAGCTGTTGCTTTGTTGCTTATGTGTTTCTTTTCAGTGTTTCAGGTTTCTGGGGTAGCCTTTATGAAACTGGATGCTATTGGTTCCAGCTTCTCCAGAGGCGGTTTATATTGTAAGGTAAAGACCCTACATCAGGGGTGCCCAACTTCAGGCTTCAAGGGCCGATGTACTGCATGCTTTAGATATCACCGGAGAACTTCAAGAGACGTTGAGGAGGCAATTTAACAATTTAAATCAGCTGTGTTGGATCGAGGACACATCTAAAACCTGCAGGACACCGGCCCTTGAGGCCTGGAGTTGGACACCGCTGCCCTACATTATTACAGAGAAAATAAAATCATTGTATTTAAAATATAAGAATCATTACTTATCACTACTTTTAGTGAATCACTTTCAATGGCTGCTATTGCATTATTTGCTTTGGTTTTACACCCAGAACATAACCATATATCTAAACATTTCCTAAACAATGGTCAGTTTGTGTCACGTCTATGAATCAGCAGACAACACACATGGCCTGCTCATATTTAGCAAAACCTTTTTTGGTAATAAAACAATGTCTTGTTAACCGACACTTTCGTTCCTGACACTTTGCTGACATCTCGTTCACACACAGAGATAATTACGTTGCCAGGTGAATTTTGCTGTCATTGCTTTATGCAGATGAGGACTGGGGAATATTTCAGTGATGGTACTGCAATATACATTGGGAATTCTGCAGTATGCAGGCTGAGCAGAGGCAGCAGAGGGAGAGAGAGTAACTTTCTTCTCCGAGGCTCTGTGCTGCAGCGGCTTACAAATGCAGAATTCTGACAAATGATTGAAAATGAAACAAAATGAGCAGCTGTTACTATAGTAACTGGGGATAGACCAGCCACACCTGCTGGTGAACTAATAAGTAGATGCAGATGTAGTAAAACATTGGTGTGGGGTAACCTTTTATTTAGGCAGAGTAGCAGTAAAAACAGTATTAGTCTAATTCATAAAAAAATGAGTTGAGTGGACATAACTTACACTGAGAACCTCGGCCTGGGTCACTGTGGGTGCTTTCATTAGACTGGTTGCTGGATACAGATGAGACACTGGAGCTCCGGACAAATCCTAGAGAAGCCAGACGGGCAGCTGGAAGGGCAGAGAAGCCTGGAGGACGAAGGCCAGACTGGCCTGATTTGAGCAGGAGGCTTTTTGGCGTAGTTTCTGGACCTGCCCTCCTGGGCTCTCCTAAAGGTAGAAAAACAAGTAAAAAAAAAAAACAAGAAAAAAACCTTTAAAAAACTGATTTAGTTTATACTGAAATAAAATGAATAAATAAAAGAGGAAGATTACATATATATAGATATATAAACATTATTCAATGACTAAATTCCACATAAATAAGAAAGCAGCATATGTGCAACCAGCCAAGAGTATCATTTATAATGTAAGAAGGCAAAATTATGCAGTGCGAGCTGGTAGCATGTGCAAGTTACACTAACTTCAAATGCTTTGCACTTCAAAGAGTTGAGGTGCCAAAAGCCAAGGCTCATCCATAAGCATGACAGGAAAAAAATTAGGTGAATCATTCAGCAAGCCCAAGAAGCTTGTTGAATAAATAACTCTACAGCTCGACATCTACGCGATGGGAGAGTGAGGAGAATACTGAAGTAGGTAGAGAGAGATGAGAGAAATCTGTTGAAATGATTTCCCAAGATTTGACCTAATCATCTAACCACACTGGGTTTTTTTTTAACGTAAGCATACACAAATACATCTTGTGTTAAATTTTGAACATTCCCAAAACAACCTTTGAAAATGCAGCTGTCTCTGATACTAAAAATGCAACTAACATTTCAGTTCACTTTTGAGTCAATTTGCCAAAACGTTACCATCTCACCTGCCAGATCTTGTTGGCCTGGAGTGGACACTTTGGCAGCCAGATATTGTGAGGGACCTGACCTTTGACCTGCCTGCTGAACTCTTGGCTTGGCTGCGGGCTGCCTGGTGACTGCACCTAGCCCAAGCTGAGGCCTCAGGGTTCTTGGCGAGCGGTAGACACTACCTCCTTCAGGGGAAACATGCTGCTCAAGGACATCACCAACAAAACCAGTTACTATGACATCATTGACATTCTAGACTGATGGACAGCAAGGTACCATATGATAGGTTTGATTCATGTATTATTAAGTTAGGCAGTTTGGTTTTGTGTGATAATACATCTAATCTATTACCACTCTGTTACTGTTTGTGGTGCAATGTGAGCCAGTACGTGACCAAAATAATCTAAAACACAGCATGTGCAGTGTAGCTGGAACTGACCAATCTGCAAGAACAATTAAAGGGTTAAAAAATGCTTTCAGGTTGAGCCACCATCATGCTAAATCGGAATACTTGTACCACACCATAAGCCGAGTCATGTGAACATATCAAAACAAAAGTCTGCTTCTCACCTCTTGAAGATATTTCTCTGATGCCTCCTGGAAGTTGTCTGACTTTCCACTCCTTTGAGGGATAGTGCTGCTTGGAGGTTTTACTCCAGTCACAGCAACACCTGGAGGATAGTATCCTGTCTTCTGCATCTCCTGTCGATATCTGTCAAATAGCAGGTTTGAGGAACAGAGCACTGGTGTGGATTTCGTTTGAGAAGCAACCTTTGGATCTTTGAGAGCTGGTGGGTTGGAGTAAGAGGGTAATCTTGTGTGTGTGGAGGCTTCATTTAGTGCATCGGTGAGTGGTGGTTTTGCTTGAGTATTCTTTCGAACATACGTGATGATTTTTGGCCGCACGTTTTTGGGCTTCTGAGGGGGCGAAGATCTCCTGGGTTCGGACTCCTTCTGTTGAGGCATGATAGGTTTGGGGATTCCACTGCTCAAACTCGTCTTAGCATGTGGCTTGATAGTTTGACTTATTCCTCTTTGAGAGGAGTCACTGCGCTCCAGGCTCAGTGCCCTGATGCCCTGGACCTTAGCTGGAGAACCACTAGGTCGTCTCTTAGGTGACGAAGAGGAGGTGGTTTTAGGGGATGTAGGAGTTGCTGGTCGACTGGGGCTTCCCCATGGCTTCCTCCTTTCTAGACTTGAAGAGCTGTGAGTGGTGGTGTTCTCAAAGGAGCCCTGCTTTTTTAAGGTGTTATCAAAAGAGAGCTGCTTCTTTAAAGAATTCTCAAATGAAGGCTGCTTTTTCAGACTCTTATCAAAAGAGCTTTGTTTCTTCAGTGTGTTATCAAATGAGTCTTGTTTCTTTATGGCTTTAGGTTCAACACATGACTGAGTCCCCTTTGTACCTGTTCTGAGAGCCCTGTAGTTCACATCAGGGGTTTCATCCGCTTGTGTGCTTTTATCTATTTTAGCGTTGCTTTCTTTTTGACATTTTGTCGGAGAGGTTAAAGCCTTGTGCTGAGTACAATTTACCTCCAAAACACTACCCTTTGCTTCATTTCTATGGTTATTATTTGTCCCGGGCTTGCCACTGACATCATGTGCCTGTGATACAGCATCATCTGACTGAACTGCTGAATTCCAATTCATATCTACATCTTTCTGGGTTATTGTGCTTTTTCTAGCAAAAAGAGAAGAATCGTCAACTATTTGAGAGGCCTTGCCTCTCTCAGAGATAGTGGTGCAAATCTGGGAAGTGAGGTCCTCTGAGATGGTTGAATGAGGACCAGAGGCAATATGCCAGGAGTCTGTCATCTGGTTCTTGCCAACAGTGTCCATGGCAGTGGCCATGCTTGAAATGGTGGACAGACAGGACACAAAGACATCAGTTTCAGAGCTTAACTCAGTCTTGGAAGCTTCTCTGCTCTCAGAGACATGAGAGCCATTGGATTCTTGCTCACTGGCACCGTTCAGAATTGACTTCCTTTCTTCCCTGCCCTTATAATCTATCGCCTCTTCTGCTGTGGATTTTCTGCATGATGACGGCTGTTCTTGAAGCTCCTTCCGCTCTGCAAGCCCAACAAAGTCCTCTTCCTCCTCAACAAGATAAGCCTCCAACTCCTGACACTCTAACATCTCAAATTCAGCCAGCTCAGGGTCATCACACTGAGAGTCTGTGCCCCAGATGATGACTTTGTCTTGCTCTGCTGTTTCAGTTATCAATGCTGACAGACAGCCAGTATCCCCAGTTCTCCCACCATCTTCTGTCCGAATGTCATTGGCATTGGCGTCGCCATCAGCCAGCATGCCACCCTGCTGGTTGTTATTCCTTAACTCCCCCACACCAAAGGGCTCTTCTCGCTCACACATTATGAAATCAGCTCTGAGTTTGTGGCAGCCTCAAGAGCACTTAAAAGAAATCATCATCATCGTCAAGCATCAAAAAGTCTGTCTGCCCATCAAGCTGTCCTACTGGCAGAGCAGGAGCCTATTTTCAGTAAATCAGAAATGTGAATGTTGAATGTCATGTCTAATTTGGAGCATGGGTCTTCATAACGTCTGAGGTCCTTATCCTGCATAAAAACAGCAGATAACAAGTAAAGAAAATATACTGATGACTTAAAAACAATATTCAACAGGTATATTTAAAAAACTGTGCCATCTTATAATAATTTAAATCTTTCAGTCTGTTTCATCATAAAACCATGAAATAAAGTGAGGTTTTTGGGGGTGGCAGTGAAAGATGTGTAGAAGCACAGAAGGTAATGTAGGCTAGACCAGCAGGAGAAATCACAGTTAACCTCTTACAAACACAGCAACGAGTGATTTAGCCAGCATAAACAATATTTATATTATTAAGTGTAATTTTTTACACTTCTTTGTAGCTCAAAAAACCTTAATGGGTGTTTCTGTATATGAAACAGCTGAGGTCATATGATAACTTAATGGTTACAGCTTTTGTAAGAAAATTCTCAGGCCCAGTGTGGGATAACCTCAGGCCTGTTGGGCTCCCAGGATTGCAAAATCCTACAGTGGTGAAAACCAGGAATCTTTTCTGCATTTATTCCTAAATGTTAAACATGCCAAACATCTTGTTTATTTTGTTTCTGACTGAAATGTTGTCAAGGATCCAGAATTTTTTTGCAGCACTCTTGTGAAGAGCTGTATTCACAAATCTGACTCTTAAAAAAATGACATTAGTGAATTAGCTCTTAGCTGGCAACCGGTCTCTCTCTAGCTTTAGGAATGTGAGTGAATTCAGCAGACAAGATAATATGCTCCTTGGAATATATGTTACAGGTGGGAACAACTTTGTGGTTAAACAAGACAGAAACTGATTCTAGAACAAGATCTACAGAGAAGAAGGTACAAACAGAAAACATTAGCCGAAAAAAATTACTTGTATTGAATTATATAACTCCCTGATCTAACTAGAGACTGCTAAGTTTAAAATACAATTAGGGACAAGGGAAAAAAGGAGTGACTATCTTCCGGCCACAGTGAACTATCCGGGGGGAAAAAATAACAACCAGACAAGCTTAAGTACGCTGACAAAAAAAGCAAATTCTGCCTTTGGAGGGGAAATACAATGACACTGTCTCTTGTTTATGGACACTATCATTATTGTTCTGTCTTTATGACAGTCAGATGCAAACCAGCATGACAGTGACGATGTTACATTTGACCTTCATAATGGAATTGTTTTCTTATATTTTATGTTTCTGATTATCCGTGTGCCTTGAGTTACTGAGATTGTCTTTTGTGAATACTTTTGAGATACTTGCATTAAAAAATACACATTATTTCTGTTATCCCTTTTCTGCACCATCTATTGCTTGCAACAACAAAAAAACAAAAACAAAAAACATCCAAGAACCTCTTTTTTGTCCAATCAGCTGAGTGACTGTGGACTTTTTACCTCCACAACTTTTACAGTGTTTATGATGGGCCACCTCTAAACTGCCAAGTACTACTGAGGCTTTTACAAGCTCTCATGACCCAACTGTCTGCTTCTGCACTTCTAAAATCCTTTAATAGGCTGCTTGATGTATGATTTTATTTAAGGCTGACAAAAATAGACAAATAAATAAATACAATATTTCAGCCTTCATGATATTTAACCCTTTCCTTCATTAAGGTAGATCTATATGTAAACTTTGTATTTTGAAGAGCTTTAAACTGTCAACATGAATTTTAAGTTTGTTGATATGTTACCAAAATCTGGAAGTTCTGCCAAATCTGCTTCCCCCATCTCCCATCATTCAGCTGGCTGCCCTGCCACCTGCACGCTCAGATTAAGAGCTATGCCACTTCCTTTAATTGTCCTGCAATTTTAGTCAGCCAGCAGGTACCATAATTGCTCAGAGAGTTTCTACTAATCCACTATGAGAAATGTGAATGAAATGTCCTGTGTGGACCCTTCGTAAAGGACAGAGATTACTGACCGGCCCTTTGATCTTAAGCAGCAACTCTTTTTTTGCAGAGAAATTGCACATGTTGTTATCACCTCATCATGCCTTTCCCATTATCCAGTTGTGGTTGACAAGTTCATCTAGCACAAAAAATTAAATTCCAAGAAAATTTCCAATTAAACTAAAGAAAAAAAACCTACTAGGAAGAAAACTGACTGCCTGCTGCTCCATCTCAGGCATTTGCTCTGCATTTGTGTCCTAATAAATTCACTTACGTAGCAGGAAATAGCATGTCGTTTCCCTGTGCTGTTGCCTGTTATTAGAGTTTGATGTGTGCTTAGAACAAGTCAACTTTTGTAAACTTGACAAGAAAAGCAGAGAGGGTCTACAGACAGAAGTGTCCGTTTGCAACATAAGCTAAAACATCGCACTAAATGCTGCTTCAGCACATGCTCTGCACAACAGAGACAGCACACCTGCATCTACTGCAGTGATTACTGTTAAACCACACTGAGACACAAAATCTCTCAGTGCAGGTAGACAAAACACTGGTGCTACTAACAAATTTTTTCCTTGTTGAATGTTTCCAGACACGTGCTATAAAATATTGTTTTTAAGAGAAAGGCTGCAACCCAACCTGCTAACACAACTGTTTCTGCTGCAGCCATCGTCCTTAAATTGATTTCCAGCTCTAAATCGGTTAAGTGCAGACCTCAGCATGGACACTATGGTACAGTTATCTGCACAGCAGTGACATGATGGATATGGTGCATTTGTTGAGTTTTATATAACTGCATTTGTTAATATTTGATCTAGAAAGTAGTGAAATATCATCGATCAAAGTTATGTTGGGAGTGATAACTTGTGCAAATGGAAATTTTAGGTGTAAAGAATCATAAATGGCATTTATAAAAAAAGAAAGGAGAAATGGGCCTTCATCCTCTAGCCAGACCTGGGAGTGGAGTTTAACAGCCCACAAAAAACACATTTAAGTGTTACCCAGTGGGCCACTACCAGGTATGGGTTTGGAGTCAACTGCACATTACCTTTACCTGCTACCGAGCTTAGAGACCCGTTTCTGGATTCTGCCTGGGGAACGAGACAGTCACCTGGCTAGGGACATTAAATCTGGGTAGGCCTTGTTCAAGGCCTTGCAGTTAAAGGTTCAACAACCTAAGAACTTGCTGTTAAGATACAAGTACGAAAGAAGGGCATCATGTGGAAGAAGGAGAGCTTTCAGGATTACCTGACCCAGGGGTGCATTAAAAACAGAGACAGATATTGGGAGAGGAGACAGGCTGTTACTTTAGCATTTGCTAAAGCAAAAGATTTAGGAGAAGTTCAGGAAGGCTACAGAGTTAGACTTCCAATTCTTCGTTTTACGTCAAGTTTACACATGTTTGTATAGAGTTATAGAGTTAGAGAAGGTATTCAAATGTGTTTGGAGAACCCTGTTGTCTTTTGCAGCAGTGCAGACTGTAAGGTTTATATCTATGAGCCATCCAATTCTTTTATAAGTAAAGCAATAGCTGTGACTGCATTCAAAACACAAGGCCCAACATCGTTTTAGTAAAGGTTAGACGCTGCCAAGTTTGCTTCTTGTCTTCATTCCTGTTTGTGATATTTATGGACCAGCACTGAAAATGCAGCCAGTGTGAGGAGGGCGTTGGGAATGGGAACAACAGTAATGTGTCTCTAATCTTTGTAGATGACATATGTTGACTTCACCATGTCATGACCTTCAGCACACCAAGTTCGTTTGCAACCAAATGCTGCTGCCCCAAGTGAAGCATTGAAGTATTTCAGGATGTTGTTAACAAGTGATGGCAAACTGGAGCTGGAAATGGACAAACTGATTGGTGAGGCTTATGCGTGATCCCCCAGAAAGAAAAGGAAATGGAGAGACAAGTGTGTGCTGCAACTGTTACCTGACTTTGGTAAGTGAAAGTAAAAGGAATGGTTGGATTTACAAGAAACACCAGAATCCTTTAGAGCTCAAGTTTGCTTTGTTCGGGTCATTTGAAAGTGATTAGATCCAGTTACAAGAGACGTACTGTAAAATCTTCTGATTTCATACATGAACTAACTTTTCTTCTTTATGTCTCTCATTCAGCTTCATTCTATTCACAAGTTTTCTGGGTTTGAAGGACATTTGCCACTTTCTTCCTGTTCCGTTTCCTGGTATCACTTATAGTACTATTCAACACTCGGGCAGTCAGTTTTTATGCTACTGCAAAGTTCAAGTGACATCATAACAGTACAAGAGAGAACAGGGAAATTTATAGCTGTACCACTAAAATGCTTCCCCCATCTCCCATCATTCAGCTGGCTGCCCTGCCACCTGCCTGCTAATATTCAGGCAACACCTTTGAAGAGGCCACTGAGAAAATCTGTGCATCCAAGCCTCGCAGGAGTACTTATGTTAAGATGTGCCCGCACAGCTTGTTTTGCTCTGTGAAATAGAAGCTGTGTCAGCTTCTGTTTTGTGTCAGCTGTCTCATGCAGCTGCTTGCCGGTCCTCACAGATGTGGGCCTTCATTTGTTTACCAAGCCTCACTTGATGCTTAATCTAGATCCCTCATGAAAAATTGAAGATGAGTGAAAATGGAGGCAGCAGTCTCTCTCTCAATTTAATGCTTCAGTGCCCCTGACTTCTTTGTGCAACCACCTAAAGCTCACATAAGATTTGCTTTTTCATACACATGGCAAAGGTTTGCCTTGAAAAACTACAACTGAATGCTTCACAGGCTGCAAAAGCCCACAATATTATATCATTTGGAAGCAAATTCAAATGCTTCTTACATAAATGAACAAATATGTAGTAACAGCACCTTTTGTGTTCAGTTTATAAAATCTCCAGGCTTCCGGTAAGACGATCGAGGCCTTACTGGCTGTGCATGCTGCCCACTGGCCCTCAGCATTTTATGGTCACATCTTACATAATCCAGTACAACTCAGGCCTTTTCAATAAATGTCACCACTCAAGCCACACCAACAGAAATCTGTCACTTCACTATTACTAATGCACATTCATGCTGCTCTGGGTACCTTGTTCCTCACACTAGGAAACTATTTTTGTTCAAAGGGAAAAATACAGAAAGAGGAAGGACCGGCTTTGCTGATTTTAGAAAAGACAAAAAACATAAGATGTGGGGGACACAATAAATAAAACATGGTGTGACTCCACATACACATTTTGAGGTGAGAGCAATTGTGCTGAGGTTACGTTTTCAAAGCTTGGTATGCAAACGCTATATTAGAATCTGCACTCCTGGAAACGATTAGGAAATGACTTGAAAACAACCTTATTAGAAACACAACAGGATCATCCGCAGTCTCGAGTAGATGCAGCAGGGTCAATAAATGCAGTTATCACTGCCGCTGATCGGAGATTGAGAGGGAGACAGCAAACGCCTTCTGTTCCCCTTGTGAAATGAAATTTCTTACCGGTTTAATTCAGGTGAATCTGGAGAAGAGCCCGTCAGCGAAGAGCTGATGAAGAATGATTGAGACATCCAGTTTAAGCCGAGATGAAGAGGGTACAGTCTGCATCATCGCTGGAAAACAGGGAGGAGAGGAGACGAGAGGAGATTGAACAAAATGGACTCGGGTCGCCCCCTGCAGGTGAAGACAGGACATTTCTTCCCCACTACAGAGCGACACGCAGTGCAAGCGTGAATGAGAGTGGGGCGGATGGGAAGGTGAAGATGTAAGGAGTAAAGGAAGTGGAGATGGAGGAGTTTAAAAAGCTGGGGCAACAGCTGACAAAGCAACAGTGAGTGCACATGAGAAGAGGAACAAGTGGGTGCAGGATACGATCACAGGATATCTGCACGAGTGAAAGGGAAGGTTTACAAGGTGATGAGTCCTGCCGTGATCTTTGGTTTGGAGAAAGTGGCACTGACACAAAGACGGGGTGGAGACGGAGGTTTTCACTGAGAGTGACCACGAGGTGCAATTTCAGAAATTAATATATCAGAGGGACCGCTCAGCAGTTTGGAAACAAAGTTAGAAGGCAAAATGGTTCGTGCGTGTGCAGGAGGGAGAGTGGATCAACTGAAAGGATGTTGACATGGATTTATTAGACCGTCTGGCTAAATGGTTATTAGGCGAACCATACAAACAAATTAAAATGAGTGTAATCGGTCCTCAATCAAATCAAAAAAAATAATCATGTGCTTTTTTAAACAGTCAAAAAAAAAAAACCACAAAACAACCCACCGATAACAACAGTAATTATATTCAAACATTAAAAAGATCATTTTGAGTACACAGCTTAGTTATATTACTGGATTAAACATTACAGAAACATAGTTAATTTAGGGTAACTATAGCATTTTACATTTGGCAGTAGTCTTATGAATTATTTACAGTGTTAAACACTAAAAACAGTTTGTCTGCAGAATAAACTGAAGGAATTTAGATTTAGATTTTTCTTTGGTTCCAATCTTTCTGATTA